TCTTTTCAAAGATCACTGCAGTACAAAACAATTTACTCATATGCTAAGAAAAAAGAAAGGCTTCTATCAAAAGATGGGATGGCTGGTTAACCTACAAAAGAAATAACTGGGAAATGAATGACTTGGTCATGTTTCAAAAAGCCCAGAGGAAGGGAGGACAATTATTTAAGGAAACATCTTAAGGATAGAAGAACAATCGAACAAACTAGAATAAACCAATGGGGCAGTTCGTACCTAAAATACCACATGATTTCCATTACTATATAAATCTCACCTTCTGAAACTATGTATTTCAGTAAATGCTATCTCTTGCATATACCCCAAAATCCTACAAGCTACTTGGACAGAATGAGATGCTTTATTCATTCTACCAAACAGTGTCACTCAGTAAACTAAGAGGACAAGATACAAAGTTGAATAAGATGATTTTTCTTCATGATGCTTATTCTGAGGTTAGACATTTGAACAAAAAACTAAAATAACAACAGGATCAGAACTATAAGAAATACTCATAAACTATTACAGGGAGAATTAGCTATCACATAGGGATCAGAAAAGGCTCCATAAGAGTTGACATCTGAGCTGGTCTTAAGTGGACAGGTGAAAATAGTATTTCAAGCAAAGGTAGTATTTATGCAAAATACAAGGTGTGAAAAATGTATTAAAGAATATCAAGTAATTTGGTTCACACTACACTACTCTTAAAGATGTGTGTTACATTAAGTTTATTAGCTGAGAGAGCAACCTATTTTAGGTAAAACAATCAGTTCTCAAAAAACCTCTTTTAATGAGGAAGTATAAAACACTTCTTTTGACCAAAGATCATTAATTTTAAATCTCTAGGAAAGAAGGGATTTTGCATATTTTGTTTTTCTCTTTATGGTGCAATTTTGAAATCATGTTTCCTGAGAGAGTATAAATAAAAGAGGTTATGAGATGCTACAGGCTCAGGGAGGACATGTCTAAAAAATAGTGAAAGCATAAATCTTCACTGAGAAAGAGGTGATAAGCAAGCATAGAAACCCAGAGCCCAATGTATTGCTCTGGGACAAAGCAAGGCAGAGATTTAGTGTTTTCCGTTTCAGGGATGATGGCGTGATACACAAGGAGCATTAGGAAAGCTAGGTCTCACAACAGCCCTCAGCAACTCGCTTGTTCTTGGGAAGCCAGTCTCTAAGACAGTATTCTCCAAGGTTCCTTCCTTCATTAGCTATTATAGGTGACAGATGAGAAACAAAGATTGAGTAACTAGAGAAAAAAAAGACATGGGGTATATGATGATAAAAATTCCCCATATTTTATATTTACTAGTTCACATAATAAGAGAACTTTTTGGTTTTTCTCAACTGGAGTTTCAAGAAGTCCTAATTGCCTCAGAGTAGTTTTTCTGAAAGTATGACCCTAAGACTCCTGGACATCCCTGAGAATTTTTAAGGACCCATGAGGTCCTCCATTTCCCAACTATCTATCTGTTTGAAGTTGTACTTTATTCATATACTTCAACTAAACACATCTAAGACTCAATGCAGAAACATATATGAAAAGAAGACAGTAAAGAGATTTTTCAAAATGTAACAAAATGAAACACTTCTCACTAGAAAAATACAAGTTTTTTTTTGGGAGGGTAGAAAAACAGTTAATTTCCATAAAAACTGCATTTTTATCCTGACATATAATGAGTTTATTATGGTTATTTCTAAAATGAATTAATAATTGAATATTTAATAAGTGTCACAGTTTTAGTTTGTAATATGGTAAATATTGATAGTTATAAGCCACATAAATAAAAGTTCTTTGGTGTCCTCCTAATTTTTAACAGTATGAAGGGATTCTGAGACCAAAAAATTTGAGAACTGCTACCTTAAGACATCCATTGTATATAACAAACTTCTCTTTTATGCATCTAAAATGTTAGAATACAGAAAACAGTCACTCAATTCATGTTCTGTGGTTCACATGAGAGATTGCCATTACAAATTAAATAGCATGGCAGACGATATGATACTATATATAGAAAAACCCTTAAGATTCCATCAAAAAAAACTGCTAGAACTGATAAATTCAGTTAAGCAGCAGGATACAAAATAAAAACCCAGAAATCAGTTGCATTTTTATACACCAATAATCAACTATCACAATAGGAAACTAAGAAAACAATTCTATTTACAAACGCATAAAAAAAACCCACCCAGGAATAAATTTAACCAAGGAAGTAAAGACCTACACTTGGAAAATTATAAGACAATGAAGAAAGAAATTGAAGAAGATACAAATAAGTGGAAGTATATGCGTGTTCATGGATAGGAAGAATTAACATCATTAAAATGTCCATACTACCCAAAGCAATCTATACATTCGATTCAATTCCTATCAAGATTCCAATGCTGTATTTCACAGAATTAGAACAAATATTCCAAAAATTTATATGGAACCACAAAAGACCCTGAACAGTCACAGCAACCTTGAAAAAAGAAAAAAAAAAAAACAAAAAACCAAAGTTGGGGGAGTAACACTACCTGATATCAAACTATACTACAAGGCCATAGTAATCAAACAGCATGGTACTGGCATAAAAACAGACACGTACATCATTGGAACAGAATACAGAGACCAGAGATAAACCTACACCTTTATGGTCAATTAATATTTGAAAAGAAGGCAAAAATATACAGTAGGATAAAGACAGTCTATTCAATAATGGTGTTGAATAGATAAACAGATACATAAAAAATAATGAAACTAGACCACCTTCTTACACCAGACACAATACATTCAAAGTGATTTAAAGATTTTAATGTTAAACTCAAAACCATAAAAATCCTTGAAGAAAAAACATAGGGAGTAAAATCTTGGACATTTCTTATAGTAATACTTTTTCCTGATGTATAGCCTCATGCAAGGGAAACAACAAAAAAAAAATGAACAAATGGGGCTGTATCAAACTAAAAAGTTTTTGCACAGCAAAGGAAAACATGAACAAAATGAAAAGACAACCGACTGAATGAAAGAACATTATTTGCCAACGATACATCCGGTAGGGGATTAATATTCAAAATTTATCAAGAACTTAATAAAACAACACCAAACCACCCCCACCAAAGAAAAAAACCTAATTAAAAAAGAGGAAAGGATCTGAATAGACACTTCTCCAAAGAGGACATACAGATGGCCAACAGACATGAAAAGATGCTCAATGTCACTAATCATCAGATAAACACAAATTAAAACCACACTGAGATATCACCTCACACCTGTCATAATGGCTATCATCAATATATCAACAAACAACAAGTGTTGGCAAGGATGTGGAGAAATGGAAAGCCTCACGCACTGTTGGTGGGGAAGCAGATTGGTGCAGACAGTGTGGGAAGCAGTATGACGTTACCACGAACAATTAAAAATAAAACTGCCTTATGACCGAGCGATTCTACTCCTGGGAATATATCCAAAGAAACCCAAAACACTAATTTGAAAGAACTTAGGCACCCCTATGTTCGTTGAAGCATTATCTACAATAGCCAAGATGTGAAATCAGTCCAAGTGCCCATCAGTAGATGAGTGGATAAAAAAGCTGTGGTACATTTACACAATGGAAGACTACTTGGCCATAATAAAGAAGGAAATCTTACCTTTTGTGAGAGCATGGGCACACCTGGATAGTATTATGCTAAATGAAATAAGCCAGTCAGAGAAAGACAAGTACCAAATGATTTCACTCATATGTGAAATCTAATGAACAAAATAAACTAATTAACAAAATAGAAACAGACTCAGACACTGAGAAAAGACTGACAGCTGTCAGAGGGGAGAAGTTGGGAGGGATGGGTGAAAAAGGGATTAAGCAAAGAAAAAAAAAACCCTTAGACACAGACAATAGTATGGTGACTACCAGAACTGAAAGGGGTTAGGGAGGATGTAAAGGAGGATAAAGGGAGGATAAATGGTAAAGGAAGAAGACTTGACTTTGGGGTGGTGAACACAATACAATATACAGATGACGTATTATAGAACCGTATACTTGAAACCTATATACAATTTTAAAATAATTTTCTAAAAAAGATTTTATTTATTTGTTTTGAGAGAGAGGGGTGGGAGGGAGAAAGGGAGAGATACATCAATCTATTGCCAATTGCATGCCCTCAACTGGAGACCTGGCCTGCAACCCAGGCATGGGCTCTGATCCGAGAACTGAACTGGCAACCTTTAGGCTTGCAGGATGATGTCCAACCCACTGAGCTACACCAGTCAGGGCAAAGCCTGTGTAATTTTATTAACTGATGTCACCAATAAGTTTAATAAAAAGTTAAAAAATAATTATATAGCATGTAATAGGCACTCAGTGAACATAAATGATAGAATTAGGATTGAAAGCAAGGTTCCTTCAAACCATTGAGACTAAATCAAAATTTTGAAATAAATTAATAAACTGCCAGATCAAAACTCGGTAAGATATTGCCTTGGCTGGTGTGGCTCAGTGGACTGAGCGCCAGACTGCAAACCGAAGGTTCGCTGGTTCGATTCCCAGTCAGAGGACATGCCTGGGTTGTGGGCCAGGTTCCAGTAGGGGGTGCACAAGAGGTAACCACACATTGATGTTTCTCTTTCTCCTCCCTTCTCCTCTGTCTAAAAATAAATTAATAAAATCTTAAAAAAAAAGACTCTATAAGATATTGACATTCATATTTTACTTCACATATGTACTTTAGACATGATGCTTGTTTTTCTTAAAAACATAGTTTTATAGTATTTATGTTTAGACCACAGCCTGAGCATTCACTCAAATATGTTCACCCAACATCTAATAGCTGGCGTATATCTGTTGAAAACACTGTGTAAGAAAAACTAATCTTTTCTGGAGCCGTATTCCATCTCATGGTTGTAGGGGTATTAGTGTTTAACAAACCGTAACAGGCATAAAATAACATGAAAACAAAAACATACATTGTACTTTTATTTAAAAACTTTACTGAAGCCACACAATGTATTCTTGCTATACTTACCGTATCCCATATCTGAAGTTTTATTTGTTTCCCATCAATAGTTATCATTCGAGCACCGAACTCTACACCTGAATAGAGTAGAAAATGATTTGTTACACAATGTAGTGGAAATAGATTTAACATTTAAGGATTAAAAAAAAAAAAGATGTTTACTTCCAGGATACGCAGTATCAGCTGATAATATGGATAAAACCTGAACACGCATTACAGCTCCTACCCTTAATAAACATATAAGCTAGAGCAGAGGTCCCAATAAAACATAAGCTAAGGGCATAATTAAAACACTAAGATATTCGAGGCTAGCATAGTCAAGAAACCAAATGTGATCTTCATATTTCACAGGCTCAGTAACATAAAAACAAGTAGGAATGAGATTCAAGAACCATAATTATTAGTAACAAATGTTAAAATTTCCTTAAAACGATTAATGTCATATAAAAAAATCACTAAAAGGCAAAGATAAATTTCAACATCATAGTCTTGGTTCCTAGTATGGGCTATCAACTAGGAAAGAAATCTCCAAATCGGTCTATTAGAGACAACCACTTTTAAAACATATTTCCAGACACTGCTCCATGAATAAATAAACACACAGAAATGAGCATACAATTTTACATTAGTGGGGACATAAAAATGCTGTTGTGAAACCTGTTTTTCAGACAACAATATGTCATAAACATTATTCCATGGTAAATATCTTTGCCAGTAACAAATATATAAAACTATACCCTGAGTATTTATAAGACCTGCTTAATATTTGTGTATTATGTGTGTGTCTATCTACACACCTACTCTCTCTCTCTCTCTCCCCCCCCTCCCTCTCTCTCTCCCCCTCCCTCCCTCCCTCTCTCTCTCCCCCTCCCTCCCTCCCTCTCTCTCTTTACCAAGTTGGTACTCTATTGCTACAAATTTAGGTCATTCCCAAATTCACTAAGATATCTTCACCAACACATACTGAAATGAACTGTTAAACATTTTCAACTTTTGATTATGATTTTAGGCAAGTTGCAGGTCAAAGGGAATACAAAAGCTTTACACTTATAAGCTTACTACAAATACTTTGGCTTTCCCCCTTGCATTTATCATCTCTCTTGGAAATACTCATTCGATAATTAAAAAAAGAAGTAGAAAAAGGGGGGATAATTTCAGAAGAGCAAATAGCTGTGAAGAAGACTGAAAGATGTCTGTCACTTGTATCGCACCAAATCATTACTGCTTGGTGTGTGTTCTACCAGTATTTAGATCAGTTGGGGTGAAGAAAGACACACATGGTCTCCAGAAACCAGATGTCTTCCTGGCAGAAAAACAGCCTCTAGCTGCCCAGGTAAGGGCACAATGCCCAGTGTCAGAATTCCATGTCAGCATCTCCTATAATTTCCCCAACTGTGATTAGTGGGGTGAAATAGAAAGGTAATTTGTTCTCCCATGATAACTTGATGGAGTTTTTACTCTACATTTTAATAATTATTCCATCTTAGAGGCATACCCAATACCAAGAAACTAATATTTCTTAGACTAAAAGACCCAGGAGTCAGAGTGTATTAGAGTAACAATGCAAAAATGAAAAATTGTGCCATGTAAAACCATTACAGTATTTATAAATCTACCTACCTATCTGTATATACATATATATTCATTTACTAATATATATGTATATACATAGTCATATATATTCTAAGCCACAAGGTGAGAGGGTGCACAAAACAACCATATACGAGTCTACCATTAATGACATAAAAATGAGAGTAGTGAGGGGAAAAAAACAGTGGCTACGTATGGTACAAATGCTCTTTGAAATATCCAGTATTGTCCTAACCTGTGTGGCTCAGCTGGCTAAGTGTCATCCGACAAACCAAAAAGTCACAGGTTTGATTCCCGGTCAGGGCACATGCCTGATCTGTGGGCTCATTCCCACTGGGGTGTGTGAGTGATAGGCAACAGACTGATATTTCTCTCACACACTGATGTTTCTCACCCTCTTTGTACCCTGTCTCCCCACCTCTCTAAAAAAGTAAATAAATAAAATCTATTAAAAAAAAAAGATTCAGTATTTATTCATTTATCCTCACCTGAGGATATTTTTTTACTGCTTTTAGAGAGAGAGGAAGGGAGAGAGAAATATCAATGTAAAAGAGACATCGATCAGTTGCCTTGTATGCACCACAACCAGGGATCAAACCCCAAACCTGCTTATGTGCCCTGACTGGGAATAGAACCTGTGACCTTTCAGTATACAGCACAACACCCCAACCAACTGAGCCACACCAGGCAGGGCTGAAATACCCAGTATTTAAAAGGAATGTACAAAATGCAACTGATCAGCAAGATATTTAACAAAATAGAATCCTTTTCACAAATCAATTGTTTCTAGCCACAAATAGAGAGAGAAATCCTATTCTTTCTTCCATTGTCATGAACAGAGTTAATCACAATACAAAAAAATTTGCACTGCTCCCTGGAATTCAGAATTTCTTCAATCCAATGCACAATGTTAAATTTGACAAAAAACAACTACAAATTAGAAAGAGACCCTTGACTGTTACCAAGGGTGGACAGGCAGGGCAAGCAAGGGCAAGCAGTTGCTCCTTCTCTGGAACTGACATCTTGAGCCAAGGAATAAAGATATTAAAATTGATTGGCAACTATTCCATCCTAGCAGATGAAAAGCTAAGATCACCTCTACTGAAGGACTGCTGTTATGGTTCCTGTTTCCAGGGCTCTAGGACACTTTGAAGTCTCCACCATTCTGTGGGTTCCTCATAAAACTTCAGATAGTCTAATATATTCCCTTCTGCTTACTTAGCCATATTTGGATTTTGGTGGGGTGTGTGTATATGTATATATCTTTATTCAAAGTATGTAGACAGAGGTTGCTGAAGCTTAACGTGTTTGAACAAAGATTTCTGCCTTTAAAACTCTATCTAATTTTAAAGAAATGTTACATAGAAATCAGGATTGTAAAAGCAGGAAAATGTCAGAATAAAATTGATGTTTTAACTTATCAATATGGTTAGGATGGCGAATAAAAAAAACCTAATTAAAAGTATTATTATCCAGGAATGAGATAAAGAATGATGGTATGAAGGAAATACACATCTCAAAATGGAAAATGGACAAGCACTGCTGTTCACTGAAAAAAGTTGACTTCTGTTTTCCTATCCAGTGAAACAAAAACAGATAGTTTCAATTTCAGCTCCAGAAACATAATTCTTTCCCATTTACCTTCTCATTCTTAGCTGGGTACAGGGCAGGTTTTACCTTTCTATGTTATGTGACAAAAAAAATTACTAAAACCTAGAGTGTCCTGAAAATTTTAGAAACAAACAACTAAAAAAACAAAAACCTTATCTTTCTAATGGATTGTTAAAGATTTTAAACAATCCATTAATGGAATTAAAAGATTTTAAAATTTTCCCTTAAGTGTGCGTGCGTGTGCGTGCCTGAGAATTCTATTTAGAATCCTATTTTTAAATAGGATAAAACATCATCCCCTATGCCCTTGAGGATGATGTCTTCCCAGATACATTTTCAATTAACAGACAAGTTTGGCTGCCAGAGAAACTGTGGAACCAAAGGCGAGGTCTCATTTACCTGACATTGATTGTCAGGGAGTGACACTTATTTTTTTCCAAATGCTATTTGCTTCCAACCTTCCAGAACAAAATACTCAGAATGTAAATACACATTTTCTAACTATCTCTACATCATTATCATCCTTGCATAGCAAGCAAGTACTTGCATCGTCGCGTATTAACCACTTTGAACAGTTGACAATCAATATCTGCTAATTGTGTTACCCTGGGCATGTTATTAAAATCACTTTTGGGTCTTGCCCTGTCCAGGTAGCTCAGCTGGTTCAAGCATTGTCCCATGCACCAAAAGGCTGCAGGTTCAAACCCTGGAGGGGGCGCGCACAGGAGGCAACCAATTGATGTTTCTCTAACGGCGATGTTTCTCCCCCACCCCTTTCCCTCTCTCTAAAATCAATAAACATATTCTTCGGTGAGGATTAAAAGAAATAAAAAATAAACTTCCTTCTGTGTCTTAATTTTCATATCTATAAGGAGGTATTAATGGTACCCATCTCATGAGATTTTTTTTCAAGGTTAAAGTAATTATCGCATACAAAATGGAACGGTGACTGGCACACAATAAGTACTCAGTATGTATCAGCTATCAATTATTCCATATTTACACCAAAATTTCTAAACTACCACCCACATAACAAATGATGATAGCCCCTATGAGCAAGGGCACCTGTCAGAGCCAGTTGATTGTGGAGGTCCAGAGGCAGAATGTGGCTCCTTCCAGCCAGGTGGGGCTGCCAAAGCATAGAGCAGAACGGAGTACTAAACAAGCAGTCAGGCTGAGCCTGCCTTAGGCCAGCACAAGAACACTCGGATCTGTTGTTCCTGGAACCGACACTGCAGAGGTTCAAAACTGAGACTTAGGGAAGAAGGCTTTCCTAATTACAGAAAGAAAGAGGAACCTATATATAAGAAAAACTTCTTTAGTTTTCTCTGAAAAATAAACAACAAACACCATACTTTAAGGTAAAACACTAGAGGAATTCAAATTACACTAAGAAAAAGATTATAATGCCCTCAATTTGTAAGTTATTCTAGAGTGATTTTGGCCACAAACTATAACAGCAAAACAAAAAGTTACAAAAAATATTAGCTAAGAAAATATTGTGACTTCCAGGTAAGACCAAACCATCTACCTACAACATGAAAAATAATTAATTTAACAAAATTCATGATAAAAAATAATCCTATTCACCATAGCAACAAAATAGATAAATACCAAAACAAACTTAAGCACAAGACCTGTATGAAGAGAATTGTAAAACTTTACTGAAGAGCATTTAGAAAGTTGGAATAAATGAAAACATGTATTGTGTATAAGCAGATAATCTCAATACAATAGAAACATAAATTGTCTCCAAATTAACTTACAAAAATGATGAAATTGTTATCAAATTTTAAGTCACTAAAAACTTTGCAACTTGACAGACTAAAATTCACTTGGAAGAACAAATGCATAGAACAGTCAAAACAACTTAGAA